GGATTGCTCTATTGTGGGAGAATATTGTGACCCGTTGCTTTCGCAGTTTTACTACATTTCCCATTTTCCATTTTCATTTTTAATTTTATAGGGCCGATCACTAACAGTAGCATTTTTAAGGGATGAAAAACGGACAAATTCTATTGTGGAAACAGCGCGCTCCGTGTGACCGCATGGAGTGAGGCGCCGCGTCATGGCTGGGTGAGGATCCGCTTCCGCGTGTGTCATCGGTGGATGATTGCTGGCGGTGTGTGCGTTTGTTGTGTGGAGGACCGAATCCTCTCACCCACGGACTGGCAGCACTGCGATGGTGTGTGTATGTGTGAGGGCTGGTGTGGAGTTGCCGGCCAGGGTGAGGCCCTTGGCGGTGCTTTTCCCGCCTGTCTTTTGTTTCTGTTGTGTGTTTGTGCTGCCTTTTGCTTTTTTCTCCTGTCATCTTCTCCTCCTGTGTTCCTGCGTGGAGTGGCCGCATGCTCACGGGCCATGTTGATTGTGAGTGCCTCTTGACGGCATCCATTCATCTCTCTCTCCGCCTGTCTGTCATTCCCTGTTGGGTGAGGCGTGTTGCGGCGCGTGAGGGCTGGCCCGCACACACCGACGGCCCGCCGTGACTTGCCGTGTTGCTGCTCTTTTCTGTGGGCGATGGTCCTCCGTGCCGTTCCTTCCGAATTGTCTCGTGCCCCACTCTCTGCGTGGGTGCTCTGCTCTGCTCCCCTCTGACGTGTCTGATGTATCGCCGCTGTTGCTGCTGTCTCCTCCACTTCTTGAACACAGTCAAACTAGGAAGGAAATCACGCGCTAATAGCTACTGTGAAATTCGAGGGCACTGAAAGGATCAACAACAGCACACACACAAATATTTATGTGCTCTCACGTGTTGCTGCTGTCAAGGCACCCCGCACACACAACCGTGACCGGATCCAGCGGAAGGAGTAGGGAAGGAGGAGAGAGTGAGCCGTCGAGGCCCAGCATGTCCCGGCGTGTGTTTACTTCCGCGGTGCTGCTCCTCCTCGTCGTGATGTGCTGCGCCACCTGTGGAGCTGCGACCGCATCGACGGGGGAGAATCAAGTGATTGCGCGGCTGTCGTGGGTGGCCTTTATTTTTGTTCCGGGATGAACGCATTTGGAACCGAAGGGTGGGACTGGTGCAAGTGGAAGGAGGGATTCGTTTGGATCGCTCGCTCTTGTGGGTGTTGGTAGACTGACGGTTGTCCTTGATGGGGGTTACAAGACGCTTAATGATAGCGATGGGGCACCGAGTGGGCTTTCTCATGCGGATATTTTGGCGGGTTCCATCTTTTTTTGCGTGGAATTTGTCGTCTTTTTTTGGTGAGTTTAATAATGGCCGGAATACACACATCGTGTTGAGCACAGCGAATATAAAGGGTGTTGTAGGCTCCGCGTCCAATCCCACGGCAATTGAGAGCGGCAATAGGGCGTTTCTTCGTGCAGGAAGCTAGCAAAAGTTTGGTACGAATGGTGGGTTCAATTGGGCGTTGAGGGACCGTGATGTTCAACTGGTTGTGGGTGAATTCACGCAGCCCAATGACGGCAGACGGAGAGAGCTGATCCACTGGTGTGAACCCAAATTGCTGTGATCACAGATCATTCCCGAGACCCACGAGCGCGGTGCGAATGGATTGAAGGTTTTTTGTGGCTCAGGTGTTTTGAATGGCACGCTTGTGTCCCCGTGATTGCGTACAATGACGGAAAAGACGATTTCTCCATGATCATCTGTTCGACGGACGGCGGCAGCAGCTGAGTGCTTTCCAGGGGCATTCTTCCTGCGGACTGCATTGACCTTCTCATTGCCGAGTGGGAGCATGGACAACTTCTCGTGATTACTCATTGCTATGGAAGCCGGTACTGCAGAGTGCACGAGTCACGTGACAAGGGGACAATGTGGGTGGAATTACCCGGGGCAATTGCAGGCGTTTGGGCGAATTCACAATCAGTTCTTTGGGAAAAGAGCTTGCGTGTGGGAGCCATTGTCACCGCGACCGTTGGAGGAAGGAGCGTCATGCTGTAGGCTTGGGAAGTGAGCTCCCCGTGGTGGGAGAGTGAGGCCCATGCGCTCTACGTTTGGGTGACTGACAGCAACCGCGTGTTTTGTGTTGGACCGGCTTACATGGACGCTGCTGTGAATAAGCCGATTGCCAACGCCATGCTGTGCTCGGATGGTGCGTTGCACCTCGTGGGAGCGAGGCACAATGAAGAGAAAAGCAGCCTGTTTCCTGCCTCCCCTGACGGAGGAGCTGCAGATGATCACTTCCATTCCCCGTAATTGGGCGGACGTGGACGTTTCCTTCTCCGCGTCGTCCGTAAGTACGGTGGGTCTGGTTGGATAACTTTCCAACGCAGGCACTGCCAACACGTGTATCGACTAGTGCCGTTGCGTGATTGCAACGGTGACGAATGGCAAGAATGTCACAAATGGGCTTCAATTCGCAGGGCAATGTTACCCGTGAATCGTTGGGAGGATAATAATCACTGTAGCTTTGTGAATTACGACTTCGCTCTTCTGGCGACGGTGGCTATCCGCGAGACACACGCGGGCGTCAAGAGTATCCCTTTGGTTGGCGCGAAGGAAACAGGCCGCACTGTGCACTTTTGACTGTTGCACAGCCATGAAGGGAGTTGGGGGGTGATGTTCAACGCAAACAAACACACCGGCCTTTGGGAGTTGAACAAACAATAACGAGTGGTGCTCACGCTGCAGGACCACCAACAAGGCCTTCGTATAGATCAATGGTGTGTGTGTGTGGGATGCTGAAACAACATCATCCTCGGGAAAGGGGCCACGCGCGAATTCACAATTTTACATTGGAGGGAATGGAAGCAGTGCAAGCGACACCGGGAGCCAAAACAAGTATGTGACAGTGACGAGTGTCTTTTTGTACAACCGCATATTGACCCGGGAAGAAGCCGCAAAAGTTGGTGCCAGCAGCCTTGCTCTTCCAGAGTCTCTTTCTGGGAAAATGCTTGAAGGGCCGGATGATCCAGCGGGAACTGACGGTGGCTCCAAAGATGGAAACGCCTCTCAGCTCACGAACAACACTTTTTTGAAGAAGGGCTTTAGTGGCTACGGCACGGTGCGTGTGTGTGTGCCTCGGATCTTGTTGCTTCTCCTTCTGGGGCTCTGGGCATTGCAGCTCTCAGCTGTGTGAGACGGCGGGAGTGGAGCCGCGACTCCCCGTGGAAAAGGGTGTGCAGCTCCTCAGGAAGACTCAATGCACTCCGTTGAGGTTTTTTATTTATCCCTTTTGTTTTCTCCTCTGGATATAATGTGCTGCTGGTGCTTTGTAGGAGGGATCAGAACCCCTGTCTTTTTACTATTTTTTAATTTATTTTTTGTTTGCCGCTAGCTGCACACTTTCATGAGTGACGTGTTTCCCCCTGTTTTATTTGCTTTTGTTGCACCGCACGCGGTGCCGGCCTCATTGCTGTGCAGTCCCGCGGACTGTACAAAACGAGGGGTGGAGGAAGAGGCCGAGTGCCTCATGAAATGTGAGGGATTTCGTGTGGACACGTGGAACACTGCGATCTTTTTTTCCCTCTGTAAAAAACATATGGAGATGCACAATTCCTGCTGCGCTGAGGGATATACGAAATGAAAGTCCACTGAGGTGATTTATTTTTTTTTCTTTATTATTATTATTATTTCTGTTGAACCTACGCCTTTTTTCTTGTTTTTCTGTATTTGGCAATTTGCTGCGGCTTGTTTTATTATATGCTGTGCTGAATGCCACTATGTGTCTTTTTGTCCCATTGGGTGTCCCACTGCTAGCTGTGCAGTTGACACTCCCTCATCACTTTTTCTTTTCTGCTAGAAGCATCGATAGTCCGCGACGTTGATCGTTTGTGTTCACCATTGCGATGGTGCGGGGGTGACTGGGCACCCTGATGAGTGCGTTCTGAGGGGAGCGGATGGTGTGCGCCGTGCCTCACTGTGAGTGTGGGGCGCCACCGCCACGACCTGCTGTGAGGCGTAACGCTATTCCTTCGGGGCAGAGGTAAGTAAAGGACTCTGTTGGACTTGGATGCGCCTCGTTCCTCTTGTTGCGGTCGTGGATGTGTGCTGTTCGCATTGCTGTTTTGCGGTACGATGTGGATGGCGGTGCTTCTGCGTGTGCCTTCTTGAATGCACCGTGCGACGGGATTCTTCTCCATGCCTTTGCCTTTGCCCTTTTGTGAGTGGGGGTGAGTGTGGGTGGCTGTCGACCTGCCCCGAGCATTGGGCCCTCCACACACGTGAGGCTCATCTTGGCAGCCTCTCGCAGCATCCATGCCTCGTGACAGGGAGCGAGGGAAGAGTAGCGTGTTTCCTCCTACTATAGACCCATCAATTCCGAGCAGTTGGAGTGGAACTAAAGGGAACAAGTGTGTGTGTCTTCACCTTCTTGTGGGAGGACGCGCAGAGGTTGGATTTCTTTTGTTAATTTGTTCGGTCACTGTGTCTGTGTTGACGTTATTATTTTTTTTTTCCAGGGGCATTCATTTTGCGATTTGTGCGTGGTGTCCAACGTTTTCCGCACCACCAAATGGGGTGCTGCGCAGGATCGGAATACATGGATGTGCGAGAGCATTGTATCGCTCGCCCGTAATAACACATACGCACACAGTTTCAGCGCGTCTGACACGTCACTTTCTTCGGAACGGTCGAAATTGCTTGTGGGACATCACTTCATTTGCGGCTTCGAGAAAGTGAAGTAAATGGAAAGATATGCCGAGAACGTAATGCTCCTCCATAATACCGCAGGCTGGCGGCGACAAGGAGCAGAGAGCCTCTACCCAACATTGAGAAGAGGGCAGCACTCTGATGATCCGGCTTGCTCTTTAGGAAATTGTAATGTAGTGTACACCGTGTGGGCCTTTTTGCTGCGGATATGCAGAGGGGTGA